CCACGCATCTCAGCCGAGATGTGTGCCCTTCCCCAGGGCGAATTTAGAAATTACACATCCCTATGTGCACGTTGCGAGTTGTCAACACAACTAGCACAAGGGTCTCCCCAAGTGAGGCAAGGAATGTCTGCCCCACTCGACAAACGATGCAGCCGGTAACACGGCTATCAGTATGACAACGGCTCGCACCATCGTCAAATCGCTCGTGCGAAGGCGCACGAGTTGATCGCGGTGATGAGTAATCATACTCATTACCATATTCATCATCACTGCCGAACAGACTGTGACGCATGCCACGAGTCCGTACTTTCGGCAGGTCTTCTGATGAACGAGGCACCGCAGCGGAACGCGATGCCTCTAGAGGATTTTCCTAGTCAGACACATCTGACTCGACGGAGTAGCTGACCCCTAACTCGGGGTCACTGTGTGCATGAGGTGCGTTACCACATACGCATGCAGCAACATCTGCTGCAGGCTGAGAACGAGCAGCAGACGACGAGTCGTCTGCCGCATAGGCGGGCGCAGCAACAGGCTGTGTCGTCTTTGAGTCACCCCGCATAGACATGTTAACTATGCAAGGCAAAGTCAGAATGAATGAATCTGAACAACAAGTACTCCCCTTTCCGTTGGCATCCAACGGTTGGCCACAAAAGTTTAGATAGTCACACGGTGACTATTAGTTAAGGGAGAGATGACGTAACGGGGTAGCCCGTTACATGATATTGTCATCTAGAATACAATGACAATAAAGAATATTACGATGAATATTCAATCAACAATATCACAGAACATGATGATATCGTTGAAGATGACCGAAGGGTCTACTCATTGGTTGATATAACGATGATATCAACCCACCAATCGCTGCTGGACGTGCGCAATGGGTGATGAGTAGACGTCACCATGCATTTAGTTAGATTAGTATAATTAAGATAGGACAAACAGAGATACAAGAGTTATAGGACTTAATTATATTAATAACAGTTTTACTTTTTCTACGACTAGAGTCTTTCACCTTAGTCGTTCTACCTTCCTCTGTGTAGTTCTACACCTAGCTGGGCACTGACTATCACTACAGTCAGTGATAGTAAACTCCGTACTAGTTGACCAGTACGTAGTCGTCGGTGCCCCGTTACACGATCTCTCTCAGCGTATTGAGCAATTTATAGCCACGTTCGTCGATCGCCTAGCGAAATTTTTAAAAACTTTCTTTTCCTCTTTCTGTATCACAAGCTTGAGGGCTTCGTCATGCCCGCCACGACCAAAGTGGGCGAATGATCGACTGTAGACCACCGATAACTTTCGTCGGATTTCACTGACTTCCGGCAGGGTTGCTGGAAGTCGCATTCTCTCTTCGTTCGTCGTGTTGCTGTGGGCTTCCAATAGCCGATCGACAGGGACGTCGTTGTGGTTAATGGCAAGCGAGCGAACATTTGTCGAAGGGTCATCCCCCGACATGTTGAAGCTGGATTCACCCAAAGAGTCCGTGTTGCGCGTCATAATCGCAGTGGAGGCCAGGGGCGCGACGAGAGAGTAGAGACGCATCTGATTCAGGAATGGCTTTGGCGTGGAAGGAAGTGATCGAGTGGGGAAAAGATAAGTCAGCAGCAAACTTTCAGACCTATTCAGCAATGCCAATCAGGGCTTCAATGTCTGCGAAGGGTAAGTGCTTAAGTCTATCGTGACGACGATCGCTACTTTTTAATATCTCACTGTCGGCGAATGAACGGAAAAGTCGTCGTGACGATTCGCTGCACTGGCGACCGTAGCTGCCTCGTGAAGTTGTGCAGGCGACAGTGGACAGCTGGTTTGGAGACCAAAATTTGAAGCCAGCAGTACCCGCAAGATGTGCAATGTGCATTCGCGACGATTCGATACGTGGTATGCATCGATGAACGATGTCGATATGGCAGAAGACGAGGGGATCTCCTTGGTAGAAGCATTTCGAATAGTCCCTCGCACTTACCGAACAGTCGGATCTCTCATTCACGATGCTTGGAGGAATTGATGGCACTCATACGTTTGAATGAGCGGATGACAGCCTTTTCACGCGAGCGCTCGATCGTTCATTCGTCGCTCATAGTGGTGAGATTGTATGACTTTATCTCAAAGATTGGTGTCAGAACTTGCTTTGTGGCGTGACTAAGCTAATTCGTAGATTGTCCAATTTGGCCGAGACCGAGTCAGCTACTTGATGATGGTGATTTCATGACCGTCTATTAGCAAACAATTATGCGCAAGATGTCGGGAAAATTCTAAGCCAGGACAGAAGCTCCGGAGCCGGTAGCTGTTCGTAGCTGTCCCTTGAATATATCGACCTGTCTCGATGTTCGAGAGTACATAGGTCGATACATGTATGCATTATAGCACCGGCAACAACGGTGTCGAGACTGCGATGTTCGCGTTTTGCTAACGCGGTAAGATGCCTGATGCCAACCTCATAAAAACGCATAGCGCTGTGAAGAGCCGTCGTCTGCATCCCTAAAAACAGCGTCAATCCGCTCACTCCATACGTGAGTCAGACAGATGCTGCTCAGAATAAACCAAAGATGGTCCCAAACTGCGACGCCTGCCGCGGAGTCCTTCGGGAGCATAGAATGAATCCGAATACGTTGCCTGCCCGGTACAATCGGAGCTTGACGATTCGCACTCGCGAGGTAGCCGTTCGCTTTTACGTTCCGTGCCTTAGTCCAATACCCGATAATTGTACTCCAGCACGCGCGTGCTTTAGCGCATTCCCAAAAGATATGAGCCGACGTTTTCTTAAAACCCTGACACGTTGATAACACCCGAAAACTATTGTCCGCTCGACGGCCGGAATGGTAAAGATTGAGTTGCTTGGTGGCAATTCTGTAACACGTCCACACCTGATAGTCGGATAGGCTAATGGGATGCTGCCAAACTTGAGACTGCAGTTGATGTGAGGCAGCACGCTGCCACATATCCAAATCAACGACTCCTTCAAAAAGGCCGTACCAGCGGTCTTAAAACGACAGCAAGTAGTCGTTTGTGAGCTGCGAACGCTAGACGGAAAATAGTCTTCCGAATATTCCCATTCGCAACTGACGATGCGACGGCCCAATTGAAGCGGCGATGCCGGGGATGGGAAAAAAATACTACGCCTTGTCGACGCAGGCGCTTGGCCCATACGAAGCTTTCCTCGGCTGAAGATGTGATCAACTCCGATAGGGGCGAGGTGAAGATCCAGTGAATTCTATCCGCACTCTGCTGCAGATGGACTGTCTGGCTAGCTATTCTACCGGACCCCGACCGTTTCCCGATCGTTTCCCGACGACCTGAACACGCTGCACCGTCGACCAGGTAAAATCATAGCGAAAACGAGTTGCATGGCGAAGAACCATCGCAGGATCGAACGCTAGTTCCTCCCCAATGGGAAGAGGTGGTGATGCCAGCAAAATTGCAGTCGCCCAACGACGTAGTTTAGGCTGCGAGTGGTGAAAAGATCGAGCTCCGGCCGGCGTAATGCTGAAAATGTATTCATTAGGCCCTGTTCGTCGAATGTGCAGGTCCGAGATAGTGCAGGCCGCGATTCGGTCGTATAAGGAGCATTTTAATGGAGGACCATGAACATCCCGGATCCACAAAATATTACTTTATCCCAGTGTCCCCCAAAAGCGACCCGTCGCGCAGTGTCGGGGAGCGGTTGAAGCCGAACGATCCGGAAGAGAGTGATGATACGACATAACCCAGTCATCTTCCTCCCACCAACCAATGGCGCCGAGTCAGCTACTTGAGAAACAAGCTCCGGCACAAAACAGCTTTTCCCGACCATCCAAACCTCCATTAGTTTTCCTTGGCGTGAGCCGGTGTCGGTAAAATATGCCACGGTCTCGCGGCCATGTCCCAACATGTTAGGTGCATAACGTCTACTTAGAAAAGTATCACAGCTTACACGCGATGGCGCATGCGAATTGATGGCGAGCTGCGAAAGCACATCAACATCCTTCACCAGTCTGGCATTACGCCACTGGGCTGGCAAAATATGAAGTGGGAACTGCTACCGGCCAGCGGGGCGATCGATTGGGAATTATACGACACACTGTGGTACGTATGCCACCCACTGACGAGGCAGTGATCGACTCGTTGCGGCGTTGATTTGCCTTTCGGCACCACTGGCCGAGCGACGAAGACCTCTAAAGAGCCGGGCAACCGGGTTGCCCGGCTCTTTGGGCGGAAAGTCCCCTACATAGGTCTAAGGTGATAGAGGGGGGGACTTCTTGCCGCGGCGTGCGCTACAGGAGGCAGCGTAGCGTGCAAACCGAAAGGGGAACAACAATCAGGATACCCGGAGACGAGGGGCACGGCGACAGCGGTTGTCATCTTCTCCCCCCGCCTCAACCATTCTGCTGTTCTGCGTCGACCTTCACGTCGCCGGCCCGGTCGCCGAGCACGATCCCCGGTCCCACGAAGCGAACTGGCTTCGAACGCGTTTGATCGGACCCATCCGGGTGCGTCAGTGGCCCATCGGGGGTAATCGAAGTGGTGCCCGGCGTTTTACGCGATTTCAGCGCCCCGATTGCAACTCGGACCGGATACGCTATTCCACGTGCCCCGCTGCGGCTGTCCCCGTGATGCTCGAGGTATCGCGCCAGAAGGTTGAGTCAGCGAGGAGGAGGATAATGACTAGTCTACTAGGAAGAAGCACACCGATATCGTTTAGTCGTCAGCACTTCGTCGTCAGTCAGGTTCTCTCTCGTTGCAGCGTTGACGATATCGGTCATACTTAACGTATCTCTGGTCTGTCATACCTTTGTAAAACCATATACTCCACTTTCCTCATCGCCGATCAACCTGATGACCCATTCGTCTCTATAATCCGATAGTCTATCTCCTTTTGTATCCCTCGCCAGTGCGATTTGCCATCGGATGGTGGTCGTAATCATCGCGTCCATGATTAGCGCAGCAGCCTCCCCCCGCCCACCCGCTCGATCCCGACTTGACCTCAACGCCTCGTGTTCCCTGCCTCCTCCCACTTGACGATGTTCCACCGCCCCTTGAAGAGCTCCATCCTCTCGCTGCCCCGCATAGCGGCCGCCGGCCCGCTCGCGCGCGCGTCGACCATGGCGCTACCCACGTCGCTCGAGCGTCTCTTTGCCAACAACAAGAAGTGGAGTGCGGGCAAGAAGCTGCTGGACGCCGACTACTTTGACAAGACGTCGCAGGGGCAGCACCCCCAGTACCTCTGGATTGGCTGCTCGGACTCGCGCGTGCCGGCCGAGGAGATCACGGGCCTCGCCCCGGGCGAGATGTTTGTGCACCGCAACATTGCGAACCTCGTGGTGAACAACGACATTAGCTCGCTCGCGGTCGTGCAGTACGCCGTCGAGCACCTCAAGGTCAAGGACATTATCGTGTGTGGCCACTATGGCTGCGGTGGCGTGCGCGCTGCTGTGGATAACAAGGACCTGGGCCTACTCGACATTTGGCTGCGCAACATTCGTGACGGTATCACGTGCCTCCTTTTTGTTGCTCTGGTGATCGTAGGGCACGTCCTCGGGACTGATCGTATGTGTTTTTTGGATACCATTTTGCAGTTGTCCGACTTCATACCACGGAACTGCAAGAGATTGACGACGACGATCAGCGCATGCGGCGGACGGTGGAGCTCAACACCATTGAGCAATGCATGAACGTGTTCAAGATCGGTCTGGTGCAACGTCACCAAGTCAAGTACGGCTTCCCGCGCATCCATGGCCTTGTCTATGACTTGGAAAACGGTGAACTCAATGAACTAGACATTGACTTTGACGCGTACGTTCGCAAGTACCGGTCCATCTACAAACTGCACGCGTTCTCGTCCGAGCCGCCGCAGCGTCGATCCCAACTGCAGGGCAACATGATTCGCTCTCTAGCTGAAGGCCACACCGAAACGTCGGGCTGTGTGAGCGTCGAGTACATCAAGCGCGCCATGTCCGGGGAGCCGATTCTTTTCAGTGAGACGGAGATCAGCAGCGCTATTGCCAGGGCACAGGAAGGCGACAGTGACTGCAGCACTGTCGACGTTGAGAAGCTCGTCTGGTTCTTTGACCACTGAGTGCATCGGTACGGAATGCTGAGCACGAGTATCGCTTCCTTCGATCGCAAGCTCTCGAGCTTCCCCTTTTTGTCTTGTCGTTAGTCACCGATGACTGCAGAGATAACAAGAGCATTGTGAAGTCACTTGAGGACGCTTGAATTCGTTGCTATGATGGCCAAAGCGCCGACTCTGCAGCTGCATAGACCAATGTGGTATCATCGTATGCGCTAGAGGTGCATATTCAGTGCCTCCTGCTGACATGGATGTCTCTACACGGATAAGAAAACTAACTTGGCGGGGATCGTGCAGCGCAGGAAACTATTAGTTGCAAGAGCATCCGTTGGAATTGCCGCCTTTTTTCGCGTTCTGGGACAACTTCAATCATGTGAAACAAACCGCCTTAGCTCACACTACACGCTGCAGCTGATCAGAAAGAAATCGCAAGAGCTTTACCTTGGTGCCAACAGGCCGGTTAGAGTCACCAACCATCTCGCGAATCGTAATCAGTTCCGAAGCCATGGTGAAAAAGGCTTCCTCCACATTCTGTGCATTCTTCGCACTTGTTTCCAAAAACGGGATCGACAGGCTGTCTGCAAACGCCTTGGCTGTCTCATGCGACACTGCTTTGTTGTCGGTAATGTCGCTCTTATTACCCACGAGGAGCTTGCACGTGCCTTCGGTGGCATATCTGTTCACTTCATTCAGCCAGTCATTGACATGGTCGAAGGATTCCTATACAGAGGAAGACGCAATCGAAGACCCCAACAGCAACGTGAGAGCCAAGCTCGAGCTTGCTCCTGCTGCTTCCGTCAAAATGTACAGCGCAGCCACGTACCTGACTCGTGACGTCATATACCATGATGATACCGTCTGCTCCACGGTAATACGCGCTCGTGATCGTTCGGAATCGCTCCTGTCCGGCCGTATCCCACTAGAAACGTCTCAACACTTATCAGCTTTCGCGTTCTGCCTCACCAATGCAAACAAGAGCGTGGCAATAAGCGACCGTGACTTACAATCTGGAGCTTCACAGTCTTGTTGTCGATCTTCACTGTGCGAAACCGCTGTCATAAACATATACGCAACCATTGTTCGTGTCAAACCCGTTCGCTGCGCTCTTCCGCTCAGTGTCTCGCCCATCCACGTACAAAGTCCACGCCAATTGTAGTAATGTAACTCTCGGTGAACGCGTCGTCCTACAACCACCGGACAATGCATACCTTGAGTCGTTCATCCCGTCCTTCATTTCGACACCACACGCGCATCCAGCCAACACTGTGTATAGGAGACACGACACACGCACCGCAAAGCGCAGCAAGAGGCACGACTTGCCAACGCCCGAGTCGCCAATCAAAACGAGTTTAAACAGATGGTCGCTGTGCACAAGCCGACAACACACAATACGAATCATACATAAAACACCCGTCAGAAAACACGACCGCCCAACGTCCATAGAAAAGCTGCAAACGGTGGTTTAGCACGCACTAGTCCTTCGACATGCCGTCTGATGTCTAGTAGCTGCACTATGCGACTGGGCGCTGGCTCCAGTTCCCAAGAAGAGGAGAAGAAGAAGAAGATAATGGAGATGAGTATCCAATAGACGTGCTCTTGTTGCTGCTGCTGTTGCTGTTGTTGTCGCTTGGTCTCTGCGATCGTAGCCGGGCCGTTGTCGCGCACGAGATACCGAACCGAAAAAGGGCGTGTGATGTAATCTGACGGCGTCAGTCCTTAAACTTTTGGTCGTGGTCGAATTTTTCGAAAAACCTCAAAAAAACGACAGCGAGTAGACATCAGCGGGCCTAGTCTAGGCACGCGCCGTTGCGCTTGTCGGTGGTCCACACAAAGCGTTGGGTCAATGGCTGGCACAATGGACGGCAGCGACCCGAATGTCGTCGCGGTGTCGGCGCCACCCAAAGCGCGGCGTGAAGGCTCGATCTACGAAAAGTACCTGAACATCAAGAACAACGTGCTGGCTGACGACGCGGAGCACGGGGCGGCAAAGACATGCACGGAGATCTCGAACTCAACGGGTAAGCACAAGACCGGACCTGTCGTTGGTCACAGACGGCGTGGGGCACTATTGGCTCTCATCAGTTGAGTGACAACCTAAGCGACAGACTGATTTGGGTGCTGCTGTTTGTGGCCGGGGCAGACGAGCAAGAACTGGAAGCCGGAGAAGTGGTGCGTAGAGTACCGAGAAGTGCGGTACAGGTGTCGTTGGAACTCGTGGACTGTAGCACGTCTGTTGTTGCTGATACTGGTGAGGACGAGGCTAGGGCTACAGCTTCTGAGGTCGAGTAAGCGGTCGTACCGCCAAACTTGTATCAGCGGCAACAGTAGACATGCCGCGGTCCAGGGATTCGGCCGCTTGTGTTTTTGTGCTGGAGGTAGACTTAACTAACGGCTGCTGGCACACATGGAACTGCTGTTTTTCACTCGTTGTTGCTGTGTACCGTCTGCTGGATCACCTGGACCTGCGCGTGTGCATGGACTCCTGACCTCTTTGTCATCGTCGTGTTTGCTGCTGGGTTGACAGTATCTAGCGAAGGTAGAGAGCGCATCGATTCGAACGGCTGATGATGGACATCGCATGACGTCGCCAAGGAACGGAAGACGTGAAGGATTCAGGTCGCCACGAATGGGAGGACCGATAGGACGTGTGTCACCGCCGAGAACGTTTGGGGGACCTGGTGGTCCGTTGAGAGGAGGACACAGCCGAAGTCGTAGTCGAAGTCGTGGACGAAATGTGCCAGGCGACATGAACGGAGAAAGCCGACTGCGATCACCACCTCGAGGCCACTCTGATCACGGAGGCTTTGAGAATTACTCGTCCGGGGCAAATGGATACAGTGATCGACCGCCAGGAGATGTATTTGGTGGTCGGCGAGATAGTCCTGACCGGGGGGCTTTCAATGTTAGAAACGGTAGCCCACGCCGTGGTGGCTTCGATGGTAGACCCGGTAGTCCACGTCGTGGTGGCTTTGATGGAAGACCTGGTAGTCCGCCCCGAGGTGGCTTTGACGGAAGACCCGTTAGTCCGCTCCGTGGTGGCTTTAACGGGAGACCTGGTAGTCCGCCTCGTGGTGGCTATAACGGAAGGCCTGGCAGTCCGCCTCGTGGTGGCTTTGGCGGAAGGCCTGGCAGTTCACGTCGTGGTGGCTTTGGCGGAAGACCTGGCAGTCCACGTCATGGTGGGTATGACGGAAGACCTGGTAGTCCGCCCCGAGGCGGTTTTGACGGAAGACCTGGTAGTCCGCCCCGAGGCGGTTTTGACGGAAGACCTGGTAGTCCGTCCCGAGGTGGCTTTAACGGAAGACCTGGTAGTCCGCCCCGAGGTGGCTATAACGGAAGGCCTGGCAGTCCACGTCGTGATGGCTTTGATGGAAGACCTGGTAGTCCCTCACGCGGGGGTTTTGGCGGTATACCCGACAACGCGCCGCGTAATGCTTTCGGAGGTGAACGCTCGCCTCCGCGTGGTTTTAATGGTGGACGTGTTAGCCCCCCATACGATGGGTTCGGCGGTCCTCCACGCGGCCCCCGTGGACGCTCTCCGCCACGCGATGACTTTAGGCGAGGCCCGCCTATGAGCCCCGGACGAGGCTGCCCCCTAGGAGATTTGCGGGGTGACATGATCGGCGGGCATGGTCCAGGTGGCCCTCGACGCAGTCGTAGCCGAAGCCAACCCCGTGGTCCCCCGCGTAGTCCTCCACGTAGCTATAATTGCGGACCTCTCGACCGTCGGCCAGGGCCAGGAAGTCCTGGCCGAATGCGGCCACCTAGCCCACTACGCAACGATTTCGACGGCCGTGGCTCTAGCAATTTGCCTCCGTTTGGGAACAGGGGCCCTTCGCCGATATGTCGACCTCTAAGCCCTCCACGAGGTGGTGAATTTGGGCCTCGCTTTGACGGCCGGGGATTGCCAATGAACAGCAATGGCATTTCGCCTGGACGAGACGGTCCGCCGAATATGTTTTCTCCTCAAGGCAGGAATCGTAGTCCAAATCGGCAGCCTCCAGGCGAGATGATGCGCAAAAGAGACCGAAGCTGGGAGCGAGGTGGTCCGCCACTAGATATGGTGCAGCGTCCATTTAACGGTCCATTGCCTGATAGTCCGCGTATGATGGAGCCTGGACCATATGATGTAAGTTCTGTTTGTGCACTGGCCGACTAACTACCCCACAGTATTTGTTGGCATCGACACGTACCTCTTTTGACGATGTGAATGTTTGCTCGATAGACTCCAAGCGAATGGAGCTTCGAATTAAAGCGCAGTGGAAAGATGAAGTGTCGCTGCAGCGCCACGTCGCTTTCGGTTGGTGTCAGTCGTCAATTGTACGTAATACTTGTGTGTGGGCAGCGCCTCGCTTGCTGTGCGTCAGCTGATGCTTACTTGGTGTATGCTGCGTAGGCCGTCATATTTGGATGTGGTAGCGCTGCCACATTTGAATAGGTCGCCCGAGTTCTTGCAGCTCGAGCGTCCGAACGTCCGAAGAGTTGTGTACGAACTGAAGCCGGAGTCAATGGCGGATGCGAGTGGCTACCGGGAGTTCGTTGGCTATCTCATCCAGGGACGTGGCGGCCACGCACGCGCTGGAGCTGCCACGGAAATGGAATCGCAAGGCTTCAAGATATTTCTTTTGCCCCCAGGCCAAGCAGCACGGCAGCTTGGCTACAAGGGAGACCACATGGTCGCCGTTTTGCGCTCCCGCTGAATGTGCAACTTGCAAGAAATTGTGCGGTCTTCGCGCTTGCTGACGACTACGAAAGGAGCACCGACAGAGGTTCGGTTGAACATGCTTGTCGTATATTGTCCAAGCTGCTATGCTAACGTCCTTGCGAACTCATCTGTCTGTAGCTGCCATGCAAGCAAACGATATCGGTGGAAAGACTTGAAGAGCAGTGCGAACCGACTTTCTCATGCAAACGCAAGGGCTAAGCTTTTTTTTATTTTCATAGTTAATGACTTGAACGTTGTTGAGTGCAAAGAGACTTTGGTTGAATTGGCGCGATCCGTGTCTTGTTATCCTACGGATAATATGTGGTGAGTACTGTTCAAAGTGTACCTAACTGCGTCGTCTAGTAAAACAGCTCAAGACAGAAAGCATACCCGAACAAACACGACCAAACAAAGCAAGACGTGGAGTCACGCGTGTACTTGATCAATTTGGTGTGCGCGGTTGTAAGGTTATTATGGAAATGTCATGTATAACCCGTAGATCGCCTGTTCATCACGTTTCCATGACCGCTACTCCACTTGAATTCGGCTCGCTTCTCAGAGACATGTACATATCATGACAGGACCGTCGAAGGTAGGATAGAATGAGCTCATTGTGCAACCAAATCGAACCAGCTGCGAAAGTGTGTTCGCCCATGTGATCGCATGATTGAAAATGAAAAGCCTTGGTCTCCTCTGACAACTTCTCTCTATTGCTGACAAAGTCGCATTGGTCGCGCCCGACGAGATTTATACGCAAAAACGACCAAAAACACGTTAGCAGAAGTCAAGGTAAGGTCTTGCGTGATCTTCTTGGGCTTCCGGTGCCTTTGAATAGGGCGAACAGGAGTGCAGCTCGCGTTGGTATGTCGTATTGCAATCAAACGTGCGTGAGACCAGGCATATGGTATGGTCGTCTGTGACATATTACCGATTGTAAGTCCTGGTGGTCTCGTATAAAATACGATGCTTTACGTCGTACGGTGGACTGCGCAAGATATTACCAATCTTCGTTTACTGCCGGCAATGTTGTTTGAACGTGACAACGACTCTCAAATGTCGCAGTCCACTGTTTGTTTTTGCCCAACGACGAGACTGCCGTCAAGCGCAAAGTATCGTGTCGCATCCATACCGGTACTGTGCGTTTCCTTAATTCTCTGCAGGACAGTAAAAACCGCATGACCGTTCCTTTCGTAGCGATGTGATGCCATAGCTCTCACCATCTTCATATCCGTTCGGTATGGACATGTCTGTATAAGCGCAACATAGGTGTACACCATCCATTCTTGTAGACGTACTTGGGTTTGTGCTCCTGAGGCGTATACAGCATGCAGTTGACACGTGTGATAGAAATGACCAATGTATATCTTGACAAATTCTTCGACTTGAATTGGTCTGAGTGTAGGTCACTCGTAGCTTGTAATGGAAACTCACTCAGGATCGTCTTGACTAGTGAAGATTCCAAAGACGAAGTGGCGTGTATGGTACTAAGTCGTGAGACGGTAAATTAGATTTTTGAATGTGACGAGACGCGTGCGCGTCCCAAATCGCATGATCAGCACCACTTCGACAGTTCATGCACGCCAATCAGGAACATCGACTACTGACTGATGAGCCTGTACTTTCTCAATCGCTGCGGAAAAATTGCAGATGGCATTGCCTCGCAACCCATACGTCAAGATGTCTGTCTTCACGCAATTTCCTTCTCGAGTAAAAGTGCCAAATGTTTTGTGATTGTATACAACGATGTCACGATATCCCACGTCATCTGCTTAAAGAGAAATCGGCAGACCCAGATTGCATAGCCTAGCACGAATTGCGAGGCGTGCGGATATCACTATCCTTGTATGCCCTTTAACTACGGCATCATGACACATGTAACCACTCTTTACATCTGCTAGAAAGATGTGTGTCACTGGATCAACTCACATGAGTAGTTGGTAATCTGTGTCTTTTTTCACCTGATATACATGTAACACGAAGGTGACGATTTGACTCCCAGAAAGAGCGCTTTCTAGATGGTAAATGAAGTAGCAACAATGCTACAATGCAACTAGTCAGATATCATTATCCAATACGGATCATACCTTGATCCCTACTGTACCCTGACACGGGCAATAAGCTTCCTAGTGACGTCAAGGAGTAGGACAGCGTCTATTTTCAGTGAAGACGACCGCTCCGTTTCTTGCAGCTCGTTCATTCACATAACCACCAAGTGGTGTTGGTGTGGACCAGAAATTGGTCGCGTGTAAACCCAAACGTCGCATCTTTTGACGTCTTTCTTTTCTGGAAGTGACCCTCTGTCCTTTGTTGCACAAAGAAGTTTACATAGCGTGGAAGAGTGCTTCGAGTTTGACAATTGGTAACTCCCAGAAAAGTCATCTTATAGTCGAATAGGCGTGTGCTATACCTTAATATGAATCCGACTATTCCGAGCCCAAATGGAATCTAGCAGCCGACAGATCCTGTACAACTTTGATTACTGGCTTGTCGAGATGGACCGCAAAAGCCTTCTACACAATGTGTTGGAAAATGGGTTTATGTGGCTTTCATGACATTGAAGGAGTTTCGGTGATGGGCGACTGTTCGGGGCTACAGCGTCAGTAAAACGACCGCGCTGTGGTTAAAGTGAACACGGGTGTAAGGAGGCATAGAAATACATATAAAAAATCAGTAATACTTTCACATTTGCACTCAAAGGACGAGGTTTGTTTGTTTACACAGGGGTGTTTATACACTCGCTTCGACACTCGCCACATTTGTTTTAGTACTGGATGTAATCTTCGGCATAATAAACTTAGCCTAATCTCGGCTAGAAGAACACTATTACAAATGAACGATAACTCTTCGAGTAACGCATGAAATCTACGCTTGATAGCTTCTACAAACTCTTTGACACTCAGGTATAAAATGCTAAATCGAATCTTTGGATGGAAGTTGTATCGAAGGGACTGTCATCTGATACATCGTTCACCCTTCTTAAATCAAATTTGTCCAAAGTTCGTGCTACATGCTCTGCATTCCGACACGGGAATCTTCCATATATTGACACCGGACAACTATACACGCCACACTGATGATGCTGCTCATTCGAGTCCTTCACAGGTAAATTCCTAAAGGGTATATTACTAGGTGACCAGTAAGACATCATTAAATTGAATCCTGTCAAGATGAGCGCTTACCGCGATATAAACGCTGCATTTACGTGCAATATCGCGGAATATGACAGTAGGAAAAGAAATCAATGTCGGATAGAATTTCCGGGTCCTTCCACCATATTAAAGATTGTTAATAACACTTGGGTCGATTCACACTTACGTAGAAGACGCTCTTTCACAGCGTCTGCTCGATCACTCGCCTCTAGTATACGAAACACATCTCTATAGACTCATCTTTCATCACCTGTCCTGCGCTCTCTTTTTGTCTGGACTCGTCACCGACTATACAAACAAATATTTCGCATGTACCATTTGTCGAAGAAGACGAAGAAAAAAGTCTTTAAGCACTGATCGTGCGCAAATAGCCGCTCATGTACGTCATTTACGCACATTTATACTTCTTTTTGTTTTTGCATATGTTATTATAGTTGGCTACTGTACGCTTGAAATTGGTTTTCAAACACACGAACATGGACTTAGTGAACACGATATCGATGATGATGCTCCACCAAATGATTTTGTAGCTATCTAAAGATCTACACAAAAAGATGCACCGACGCGACACATGCTGGACTTGTTGCAACAACCATTTGCGTATACCTGGCATTCTCACTACGACGGCCGACTTCGCCTTCGTCCTTCATACAAAATATTCGTAAAATCTAAGCTACGATCACATCAACCGTAGTTTTCTGATTCCAATGAATATCGTTCAAAACAATCATGAGTGTCTCTAGGTAGCCTTCTCAGCAGTATACGATGTATGTGTGTTTCACACAGCGCAACCGTCTTGTCAGACTCTTCTTTCCCACATTGGCTTTATAGCAATACGTGACCCCTTGCAATATCAATCTCTAAATTCACGGTTTGTAGTATGTTCAGCCTGGACGTTGTCAATACAGAAAAGGCACCAGCGCCATTACAACGAATAAAACATCTCATTTTAAAACTATAGATGATTTTCAGGATTAACATATATTGTAAGTATAAATACGAACAGTTGTTTTCAGCAACTACAAAAGCTCCATCTACTAACAATCTGACTATCGCCCGTACATCCACCCCTTCACCAATCTAAATGATGTCGTCGAATTTATTTCTCCTAGTAACTTACTCCGCTGGACACTTAATCTTATTTCCTGTTCACCGAAAAGAACATATAGTACTGTTCTATCTTTAGCGGTTGCGTATAGCTGGCTGATTATTTAAAGTATTAGCGTGAGCAGTTTGTGAGTCATTTTGCGGACTTCTGGCGCAAAACAATTTAAAATACGATTATCAGTCGCGCATGAACGATTCTATCAAGCACTACAAATCCTAACTTGTAAGCTTCTCTTTGCTCTGAAGATGTATTTAATTCAATATGAAGCAGTTTATGAGCCCAAGCAACGGATCTCAGCTGTCTGTTAGCGTGGTAATACTATCCGACCTAACTATCCAATCTCCTGAGAGCGTTGCTGGCGATCAGTTTTTACTTATTGACATGACGCACGAGATGGCAACAATAGCAGGTAGGAGGCGCGCATATATATCCAAAAAAAGAAATTGAGAGCTTCATCTATACACCGAATGCCTTGACTCCATGTAGCATCGAGCGCTCAAGAAAAAGGAATGTTCACAATATTGTATGAGCGCGCCTTGCAGAAGTTTATAAACATAAAGCGGTCGGTAATGGCATTGCACTTGAGTGCAATCCATGTAGGCCCACGAATTGTCTGGACTAAGACATTTTACTGTAGACTATTACGCGAAAATTGCAAAGCTTTGTCACACGTTCACATTTACGTGTAGCGTAGACGCAAGCTGTACCTGAGTCACATGCTTAAACATCGGCTCATGC